ATAGATAGATAGATAGATAAAAAAAGAAGATTTTATGTTGTGTTGCACTAAGAATTTTATTGGATAAAAACACATGAGTTTTTAATGTTTTTATGTTGTCTTGTCATTTATGTAAGGAGCTTTATTCTTGGAGATAAAAAAAACATTCGTAATGTAGTTTTTTAGATGAAGCAAGGACATTGCTGTGAGTTTAATTGCAGCGGAGGCTTTTATTATAAAGACTGTATTTGAGTGGAGGCTTAGGACGCCACCTACAGGACAGTGTAGCCATAACAACTCATTTTGACTTCGCTTTTTCATTGTTGTAACATACATGTCCTATGGTGTGCAGAGTCCGGTAGGAAAATATTGCTGTACACCATATACTTATAAGCTAAAAGTACTACTACGAACATTTGAAGAGAGCATTTCTTAGTTCCTAATGTTTCATATAATTAATTAAAAGGTTATTTTGGCTGAAAAGCTATTTAGAAAGTTTATTCCTAAATCAGGGAGCTATTCCTATACCGGTGAGTGTTTGTGTGTGCGGGTAGAAAGAGGAGTTCGCCCATCGCACCATTTATGTAGTCACCACTAATGTTTTCTCCTGACCTGAAGAGGTAGCTGCGCCTTTAAGTCTTCACTCAGGGAAACAAAAATACAAGCTCAACCTTTTGTTTCGTCATAAAGACGCGACAGGCCTCTGAGTGCAAATCTGGAAACAGGCGAGTCGTCGTGGAGGGCCGCAGTATTTAAAGTATCCTGAGAATAAAAGATGGGTTTTATTGCCGCCTGAAGGGTCTGATTGCCGGGTTTCTGTCGTCTCGCAGCTCCCACCGTCTCACCGCGTCGTTGTCTGTCTGCAGGCGGATGTTGAAGAGCGGAGTGTCGCATCTTCTGTTTTTTTCTCTGCAGCGTCTGGCTCGCAGCTCGGTAAACAAATGTAACCGGATCAATTCATGCTCTCACACATTTCAACTACAGGGACCTGCGCAGTTTAAAGCCTTCAAGCATCAGAACAGCGGATAAATCGCACCCAATGACATCCAGGAGGACAGGGTACGCAGCTAGCATGGACACCTCTGCGTCCAGCGCGGGGAGCCGCAAGCAGAGCATCATCAACATCGCCGACAGGATGGAGCCCTGCTACGACCGCAAAGCGGACACCAAGGGCGGGTACGGAGCCTCTCAGGGCGGCGGCGTGACGGTAACCTCGCTGAAATCCCGCCTGGCCCCGACGATCCAGACCGCCATGTCCGCCGCCGTGGACACGCTGCTGGGGGAGGTGGTGGTCGTGCTGAACGAGACCCAGCAGGAGCTGCTGCACAAGGAGCAGGAGAACCAGAGGCTCAAGGTGCGGCTGGAGGTCTCCGAGAGGGAGCTGAAGACCCTGCAGGAGTGTCTGTGCAGCGCCCAGAAGCTCATAGACCAGCTGCAGGTCTCCTACACGGGCCCCCAGCAGATCGGCCAGTCGGTGTTTGGCCCCTCACTCTCTTCCATGGCTTCTCTGACCCCAGGCTTGGACCGGGACCACCAGAACCCCAGGAACGTGAACGGAGCAGGCGTGGATCTGGGTCTGGGCGGCTCCGTGGATGAATCTCTTCATGGCTTCGAGCCGAGAGATGAATACAAAATGTGCCAGCTTTCGATCCAGCCAGACGGCTCCGTGACGAACCACACTCTGGACTCGTTTTCCTCCAGCTCCTCTCACATGTGCTCAGACACCAGAGGAGCGGGTAAGTCCACAATCTGTGCCGCATTCATTCATATTTCATGCTTAAAAAACAAAACAAATATGGAGGGGAGGAAAGTGCATCATCTAAAATATTAACTTTGCAGGGCCTGTCACGATAACTCATTTTGCTAAACGATTAATTGTCCCAGAAGTTATTGAGATAAACGATAATATTGTTGTTTTGAGACCATTTCAAGCAGTGTAATGGTAATGACATAGTAATAATGCGAGAACACATTTTCAAAGATCAATAAACTTTAATGTTCTGATGAGCATTTAACACTGGAACTGGAAGACATTTTAAATATCCAAAATAAACAAATAAAAGCTGAAACAACAAATGCAGTCTTTGTAAACAAAATTGTCCTTCAAAATAAAGGGCTAGTTGCGACCAAAGCACCAAACTGAAGACTTTTATCATCAAGTTTTTGGTAGAAAGAGAGAAAAGAGAAAAACAATAAATTATACAGGGGAAAATGTTTAAGTTTGTTTTATTTTATCACTCAATTAATTGATTAATTGCTCATAGTGACAGGTCTGATAGGGAATGAGAGAAACAATTTTAATATTATTTACTAGGAACAAATAATCAGTTTTTTTTATGTCATGTCAAATTATTTCTATTTTTATGTATTTCAATAGAAAACCCTTTAATATTAGAGCAGTTAAACCCTTATGTTACAGCCAGCTTTTTGTTTTCACTGTTATTTTTACTTTATTTTTGATTAAAAGAACCAAGTATTTGAGGTTGGAGGGCCTCTGGGTCATTTCCCTAATCATTAGTTCCCTCCACAGATTATCTCTGATTTAAATCTGGACTCTGGTTTGGTCACCTAAAACAGTATTGTTACTTTCAGTCAGAAGAAACATGATGGTTAAATTAGGAGATTACTTTAAACTTAGATTTACCAAGGGTCTGAATAATTTGGATTTAACTATAATATCTGGACATAATGTGGCAACCAAAGCACACTGAAAATAATTATGTAATGAAGTAGTTATGAAAAAAAAACTCAATGTCTTAAGAAGAGGCTGTGATAAAAACATTATCACAATCTCATTATTTAAAGAAAATTACAGATTTAAACTGTTATAGTAACACAACAAGCTTGAGTTTTTATATGTAAGCTTCCTTTAAAGCAAAACAGGTCTAAGTTATTTCAGTGTATTTACACATTTAAGCTGTTAACAAGACAAATTCAGGTTCTGGTCAGATTAGATTAGATGTGAGGATTTATTACAAAGCCTCTGTTCATACCTTTTCTTTCTTCTTTGACCTGAAGATGAACGGCAGCCTCCGGGTCCCAGTGGAGGACCCAGATTTGAGATCAAAGAGGAGCAGGGGCCACCGTCAGGTTCTGGTCAGCACAACAGGAAGGACAGCCAGGTTGGGGACGGAGACGGCTCGTCCCTTAATGTGGGGGACATTGCTTACGGTCAGGTTGGAGGTGAAGGAGGAACTCCGCGTTCTTTCTCCAACCCGCTACGTCACCAAAGACTCATGCGTGAGTGTGGTGGTGCCTTGCAGCAGCAGCAGGGAAGTCTTGATGGACAGAAACCTTTGTCAAGGACTTTTGGAGCAAGCAGAGGTGACACCGTCTCACCGGGCCGAGCCGAGGAGCCCGCGGGGCCGTCGGCCCCCGACACCTCCGGGGAGCCCTCGGCGGACCGGCCTCACCACTGCTTGGAGTGCGGCAAGACCTTCCGTCTGATCTCCAGCCTGAAGAAGCACATCCGCATCCACACGGGCGAGAAGCCGTACCCGTGCGCGGTGTGCGGCCGCCGCTTCCGTGAGTCCGGGGCGCTCAAAACGCACCTGCGCATTCACACCGGCGAGAAGCCCTACTCATGCTCCGAATGCGGCAACTGCTTCCGCCACCTGGACGGTCTGCGCAAGCACCGGCGCACGCACACGGGCGAGAAGCCCTACGTGTGCGCCATCTGCGGGAAGCGCCTGAGTCGCCTGCAGCACCTCAAACACCACCAGCTCATCCACACCGGGGAGAGGCCCTGCTGCTGCCCCTTCTGCAACCGCACCTTCAAGGAGCCCGCGGCGCTGCGCAAGCACGTCCGGACGCACCGCGACGAGGGCGGCCACATGGGCATCGCCCCCAGCGAGGAGACGGACCCGGACGCCATGGACGACATCAATAACCTCCATCCCGCAGCTCCCTCTCCGCAGATGCGGTTCGGGGAGTGGGGGGCGGAGGAGGAGGACGGCTCGGTGGCAGACTGTGTTTAGGGAAGAGCAGAGAAGTGGTGACTTTAGAAATACAAATAAAGCATGGCAGACAACACTAATGCATTTCTGTTCCAGACTACCACTTTAGCACCCTAAAATGTAATTTTTATGTATTTATTTTAAAATGTCAACTTTTCCAAAGCCTTCTGTTTGAGTAGTTGAAACAAAGTTGTTGTTTCTACACACAAATACTCTAAAAATGTTCCTGTTAGCAGAAGTGGAACCACCAGATGGGTTCACGGAGGAGACAAAACACCATTAATCAACTTTAGATGTCACCTTTAAAAGTAATCAGCTTTTACAAATCAATCAATCAAATTTTATTTGCATAGCACATTTCAGCAGCAAGGCATTTCAAAGTGCTTTACATA